GTATGAATCAGACAAATTAGCATTTATTTTAAAAAAAAAATAAAAAAAAAAAAAAAAAAAAAAAGAAGCACCAGGTCCACAGAAAGGGCAGGAGCCCCAACCCAGCAACACACAGGCCCAAGGAAGGGCCCGAGGGGATGGAGTGCACAGAGCCAGAGGAAGAGACAGCTGAGGAAAGTCCAGGGGGACCTATTTATTTCTGCTGTCCTGGGATGGGCCTGGAGTAGGGGATAGAGGTACACAAGCAAAGCGCAGAGGGCAGAGGGTGGGATGTAGAGCTTTGTGGGATCCCACAGACTGCCCCCCAGACCAACTCGGGGGCCAGGTGCAGACCCCATAGGGTCTGGGCAGCAGGAGGCCAGCTCCTATCTTGGAGCTGTAACCATTCTGCCTCCCACCCCACACACTGCAGCCCTGGGGGTGGGGAGGGGTGGTTACCCAACTGGTTCCTTCTCCAGAAAAGGCAAAAATCCCTGCAGCTCCAGGGCTGCTTTCCTGGCTCTAGGCCGACCTTCCCCAGGCCTCCCCATGCTCCGCCTCCACAGCTAGCATCTTCCCTAAAAGGGGCCAGCTGCCCAGCTCTGCCCTGTGGGGGAGGGAAGAGGAGGCTGCAGGATACATGACAGAGTGGGGGCTGCCCTGGGACTACCTGACTCAGATCTAGGCCCACCCAGCTACGGATCCCACCGATACAGGAGGAACAGGACTGTCACGCAGTCCCCAGAGCCTTGGCCTGACCTCCCACCTTGATTCCCTGGCCAGCTTGACCTATACTTACAGCAGGGTAGAAGGGGCGCTGGGCACTGCTGCAGTATGGCAGAGGGGCCCAGACCTCCACCCGCCACTTCACCCCAGGTAGCACCCCATCAGGTGCCCCTCGTACCTTCAACCTTAAGGGCATCCCAGGCATGCCCCACAGCCTCCCAGGGTGATGGAATGTCCAGGAAGACAGCATCAGCCACATGGCTCACTCCGAAGCCGCTGCGGCACACATCCTGGGTGCGCACCGTCACCCAGCGGCCCACACGGTGCTGCTGGAACTCCTCCCGGGCCTTGTCCGCCCGCTGCTGGTGGAACTCTACTGTGTGCAGATGGCCCGTGGGGGCAATGCTGCGGATGATGGCGTGGGACACGGAACCACTGCCGGTGCCTGGTGGGACGAGACGAGACAGGACAGGGGCTAGGACAGTGTGCAGCCCACAGCCCTCCAGGAAGTAGCCTGATTTGATCTCTCTCACCAGGAGAGGCCTGCAGGGCCCCAGGAGGCAAGTTAATCCCTAAGTTGCAGGTGGGTGTTACTCATGAGCCACCTGTCTGCTCCTGGTGGCCTTGGCTCTGGGCCAGGATGCCAGGGCTGGGAAGGACAGGCTGTGTCACAGATGAAGAAGGCACACAGGCCACAACTCCGGTTCTCCGGGTCAGGCCGAGCCACCATGGGCTGGCTTGGCCTTGGCCTCAATGCCGTCCACACAGTGAGTAGGCCTGGGTCCCCTCCTCACCTGCATGTGGGACAGTATGTTCCTGAAGCCACTCCCAAACCTGCCCCAGCGCAGAGAGAAGCTGTTTGGCCCTGCTCCATCTCAGGCTCCTCCTCCTCTTCCAAGGTCCCCTCTCAGTGCCCCCCTGTGCCTGAGCTCAGCTTCCTTCAGAGCCACCCTCTGCTGGTCTCTGCAGTGCTCAGCCTGGCCCCAGGCACAATGCAGTCCCATGGCCATCCCCACCACAGCGCCAGGTGCCACCTACACTTACGACTCTCAGCTGGATCCCACAGAGACTCCTATGGTAACACCCACCACATTCACCACTGCCCCTCCACACCCCATGGTACTCAGTACTCAGCTAGATTCCTGCCAGTCCCCAGCTACTCCCTGCAGAGGTGTCCCAAACCCAGGCACAACGCCCTCCTTTCAGCCAGCTGCCATGGGGTTGCCACAGCCACCCCATACCAGATCCACTCCTTCCATGATGTTCCAGGACTAGGCCTGACTCTGACGGGGGCCCCAGGCCTTGCCCAGCAGACACTGCAGGCCCGTCTTGACACAGCCAGCAGTGTCCTTCCCACTCTCTACCCAGCTGGCTGGGCTTTCCCTTCCCACTGAAGGTAGCCAGACACCGGATTATCCTCTGATGGTCCCCCATCATCTCTCTCTCTCTCTCTCTCTCTCTCTCTCTCTCTCTCTCTCTTTGTATTTAGGATAGGGTATACAGGGTCTCACTGCGTAGATCAGACTTGTAGTGATCCTCCTGTTTACAGCCTCCCAAGTGGATTATACCCAGTCTAAATCAGTCTCAGTGCACCCTGGGGGCAGGGCCAGGGATGGAACTCGGAGCCCCTGCATCTGCCTAAGGAGGCACTTTAATTCGCTGCGCTGGGCCGGGGGGATGGCTCAGTGGAATAAGCGCTTCCCTGGCAAGCGCAAGGACCTGAGTTCAATGCCCGGTTCCGAAAAAAAAAAAAAAAAAAAAAAAAAAAAAAAAAATCCGCTGAGCTATTTGGCCAGCCCATCACCTCTTAATTTCATTTGCTGCTTATTTGACCTTACTTCCTAAATCAGCCACATTGGCTTAACTTTGCTGACCCAACTTTGGTGGCATACACTCGCCACCGGGCCTTTGCACATCTTTTCCCAGCTCTTGGTAGTAGCTCCTCATCATTTGCAACTCACATGATCTCTTAAAGTTCTTTGTCTACCACAACTCAGCTAAGGGACCTAAGCCACCCTCAAATATGTAGTGTCTGGAGACCAGCAAGATGGCTCAGTGGACTAAAGTGCCTGCTTAGGCAAGGGCAGGAACCACAGTTCCATCCCCGGCACCACATGCCATGCCAGCCCCACCCCCAGCCAGAGTCCAGCCATAGTGGTGCACGCCTGTAATCTCAGCACTGAGAAGGCTGAAAGCAGGAGGATCGCCACGAGTCCAGGCTGTGTAGTGAGACCCTGTATCACATACATTAGTGCTGTCTTCCAAGCTTGCCCACAATCCACGGCACTGACATGGGGCCCAGGCTCACTCTTCATTGTCTCTCAAGGGCAGGAACCCGGCACCTCACAGGGGCTGGAGAGGTGTGGCTAACTGAGTAGTGTGGCCACCTGAGAAAGGCCAGCACCTGGCTCTGCATCTCTCTCTCACTCCTGCTCCTCACACTCCTGGCCCCTCAGAGGCAGGCAGGAAGAACTGAAGCCTCAGAAACCAGAAACGGGCCTAGGAACTCCTTGTGACCTTGTAACTCTGCTCTACCACCAAGGATTGAGCTAATGTGAATCTAGCCTCGTGAGGACCCACGGTCATTTCCAGCCGGGATGCACAGGCCCCAGGACATGTAGAGGTAACAACTGGCTCTCAGGTCCTCCTGTGCAGGTGATACCTCAGCAAATGTGGTGCTCATCTTTGCTGGGGGCAGGAAGGGCCCTGGGTGCAAATAAACACCTAGCGCAGGCTCCCCATTGCAGTGAGGTAGTGCACAACTAGAGAGGCAGTCAGCACCTTGGCCAGTGCCAAGGGACACTGGCTCAGGCCCAGGCAGGGCTGAGGGGGGCACCACCCCCTCCTTCGCCACCCCAAGTCTAGGCCACCATCCTTGGCTCACAATTCTAGCTTGGGGGCTCACACAGGGCAGCTTCCAACACGCAGTGCTGCTGAACATGCTTCTCAGTCACCAGCACCCACCCTCATGCCTGACGGCAGGGCTCTGAGCTGCTACGCCCACCTGCAGGAGGGACAGGTCCAGGCCATCTGGACCTCGGCCTTGGCATCCACCTTAATGCTAGTTTCTCAGATGTAAGGTAGCCCGAGGACCTTACCCGACTCGCAGACCACAGAGCCTGGCCGCAGCTCCAGCATCATGGTGAGCAGAGCAATGTCGGTGGAGTACAGGATCTGTGTGCGGTGTGGCAGGTTCAGCGTCCAGAGCTCAGGAGTGGGGTGCAGCACATACACCCAGCCACCTCGGTTGCAGGTCACCTTGGAGCCGAACGGACGTCCAATGAGGTCCACCGAGTGCCGCAGGACACCATGCCGGGTCTGAGTCTGTGCTCCGCGCTGCACACGCACCGCCACCATTGCACCATGACCAAGTGACAGGATGGCCGTGTCGCCTTCCTTGATCAGCTCTTCATACTCCACAAAGCTCATGATGCTAATGTCTGCCAAGTGTCACGAACCTGAGGAGCGGTGTGTGAGGATATGAGAGGTGAGAGGGCCAAGAGGCACGCTGGGGACCTGGGGTCTGGACAAGGCTGTGAGACACAAGTTCTGCACAGTGAGGCGGAGGGGAGCGCGTGGCTGGGACCTGCCTGACAGGGCGGCCCACTGAGGCCTGACCTTTGCAGCCCTTCTTGGTCTGGGACACGAGACAAAGAACACACCAGCGATGGAAAAACAGGCTCGGCAACAGCGGAGGTGGGGCTCAGGACCCCCACTGACTCTGAAGGGGCAGGGTCCCACTTCCCAGCTGGGCGATGAGAAGGTGGCCTTCGAGAGGCGCCCACCAGCGGGAAGCAGCCAATGCTAAGTGATCCCGGAGTTGGCCTGGCTCCGCGGAACCCGCCCCCGGCACCCCCAAGGCGCGCTCGGCCCGGGGTGGTGCGGGTGGTGGGGGTGCGCAAGGGGAAGGGGCTCCCCGGAAGGGCACGGCGCTGCGGAGGCTAACCTAGCCGGACGCCCCAGGGTTCTGAAGAAAATCGCAGGGTCCACGGAAGGGCCCCGAACGCCTCAGTGGACCCGAGGACCCCGAGGAGCCACGCGGAAGGCTCACCCGGGCGCCGGCGCCAGCTCCACACGTGTCTCCGCGGCGCGCGGGGCGCCCACCGCTTCCGGCTCTAGGCGCGCGCTGATGACGTCGCGCGGAGCCGACTGCCGGGAGGCCCGGAGCTGTCCTTCGCGTCCTCGCAGAGGGCGTTTCTTGGTCTCGCCGGCTGCCGTCCTCCGTCCGTACTTCCGCGTTGCCTAAGAGACTGAGCGACGAGACCCACAGCAGTGCCTGCCCCTCCACCTCGGCCGGGCAGATCTGCCCGAGCGCGGCTTCCGTCAGGCGCCCTGGGCTGGCCCAGAAGGCACCGCCAGGGCCCACCAGGCGCTTGTCATTTCAGAGGGCCCAGAAGCACCCTGCTGGGGTGCAGGATGCACCCCGGAAAGTGCAATCCCAGGGCCTGGACGAGGGCTCCCGAAGGCCGTGCTGGGGCCTGAGGTGCTGAGCAGGACGGTGGCCGGCCCGCATGGAGGCGCCTGGGCAGGCCCTGCTTGGGCGCGGAGCGCCGCGGGAGGGAGGGGCGGCAGCCGCGTGCCCTGGAGCTCCGGGCGCGGTGAGAGCCGGCCCGGAAGGCTCGCGCTGGGGCCGAGCGGGGGCTGCGGAGAACTGGGCAGGAAAGGGACGCAGTAGTGATGTCCGCTTCAGAGCAGCTTCTCTGGGGCATGCGGGTGGGGGAAGTCGGCGTGTCTTCCTCCAGCCTCAGCGCCCGGAACCGGGGCTTGTCCTGTCTCCAGGGACTGGAGAGCGATGGGGACCTCTGTCTGCTCCGCTGCCTGAGAACACAGGCCAGCTGTCTACGACTGCTGGAGCACATTCCCAGGCCCGGGGGCTACTCCAGCCTGATAAAATGGGGACGGTGAGGCCCAACCAACTCCTTCCTGAACACTTTGCCAAACCCTCCCAGACGTCTGGCCCAGGCTAGCTCCTGTGGTCGTGGCCCCTGCCATGGCCTGTACAGTGGCTAGGTGGAAAGCATGTGTCTGACCTCAGCTCCCTCCATTCCGCCACCCTGGCTGGGCCCGAGTCTGGGGCTTGAGGAAATTAGATGGTGGTAGGCCTCCCACTTCAGGATCCTGGCCCTGTGGGTCACCACTAGAGACAAACCAGCCCCTGTGGGTCGCCACTAGAGACAACACACTCCCCAGTCTCTGTTCCAATAGACAGCTTCCTCCCTTGATGACACCCTGCCTGAATCAGCCCCTGATTGCTCCCATGGGGTTTAGACTTTCCACTTCTCCTAAGAGCTCATCTTCCCCAGCCTCTCAGCTGCCTCCTGGAGACAGATGACTCATTAGTGGTTTCCCTGGGACCCAGCTTCTCATTTGCTTCTGTCCACTCTGGCCTGGTCAGCAGCCCCTCCACTACCCCTTTTCCAGCCTTCAACCTGAGTCTTCAAGCAGCCCCTCCACGAGCTGATTACTCTGGGGGAGGGAGGCGCCTAGAGACTACATACGTCCAGCTAAATGTTTTTTTTTTTTTATTTTTTTTTTTTTTTTTTATTTATTTGAGAGAGAGAGAGAGAGAGAGAGAGAGAGAGAGAGGGGTGTGTGTGTGTGTGTGTGTGTGTGTGTGTGTGTGTGTGGCCAGCTCAGCCCACCAGGGGGCGGGGCTGGCTGGCATGTGGTGCTGGGGGATTGAACCGCGGTCCCTGATGCCTTGCCAAGCTTGTTCCAAGTAGGTGTTCTAGACCACTGAGCCATCTCTCCAGCCCCGTCCAGCTAAATGTTATCTTGCAAGATCCTCCTCACAGTCCTGCGTAAACCTAGCTTCAGAACACCAGCACCACATTTGAAGGGCAGGGAGAGGAGAGGGAGCTGAGAGGAGAGGCAGCTAGCTGCTCCACCCACACATCTGGAGGGGTGGGTGACAGAGGGTGCCTCCCCACTCTCTTGTTGGCATGGCTTCCTGCTGCATTGTGCCCTGTGGCCTCAGGGCAGCCCCTGCCCCTCTCCTGACCCCCAAAAACTTCCCCTTTGGGCTTTTCAGTGCCAGGGACGAGAGCATCCAGAGGAAGTAGTGCGTGGCTGGCTGCAGCATTAGCGTGTGTTCAGAGCATCTACCTTGCCCAACCTAGACTGGCCTGCACCTACACCTGTGTCGCTCAGCTGGACCCCACTCCACAGTTAAAAGACCTGGGACTTCTTTGAGGGCCCTTCCAAGTCCTGTGGTTAAATGTGCAACCAGCTGGGGTTCCCAAGGAACCTGAGCTGTAAACCAACTGGTCTATGATGTCACCAGTCTCTTATACAGGTGCCAACAAACCAGCTCCAGCAGGGCTGAGAGAACAGAGGGCCACAGTGGGGGGCCCAGCTGGGTCAGCAGAAGGGACATTCTACCATGGCAGGGGCCAGCCCTCCCCACATCCTTTCCCTGCTCACTTGTTCTGGAGCCATGGAGGCACCCATCTCCTGTCTGTTAGAGACCTCATCTTGACATTTGAGGATCTCAAAGGCCACTCTCCTCACCCCTGCTGCCCACCTCTGCAGCATGGGTCCGTGTGTCCCAGGGTGGGTGTCATAAGATCTCTGAGGGACAGATGGCTGCACCAGCTGCAAACAGAGCTCAAGGAGCTGCCAGAGGGCTGGGATTGCTGAGGCTTCAGACCAGACCTTCTCCCGGGCCACCCTTGTGCAGAGGCTCACTGTTCTTCCTGCCTATAGATGGGTAGGCAGCCTGCAGCCCTGCCCTTCGACCTCACCTGCATTCTGGTCCTGCCTATGGAGGGAGAGGCCTGGAGAAGTGGCAGGGAGGGAGAAGAGTTTTCAAGGGCTGGAGACAAAGACAGAGCCCCCTTCCCTTGGATGTCCTTGTGTTTCCACAAATAGAAACTCGAGTTCTGCAGCCAGGCCTTCAGGTTAGGGTAAGTGGGCAGCTGCAGATAGTTCTCAGATCTGGGAAAGGGGCTGGGGGCCCAGAGTGCAGACTTTCCAGGCTTAGGGGACACCTGTTGTCTAGCCAGCCTTGGGCCACTGGCTTTTTTTT